TTTCTTAAAAAAATGTTTATTTATTTTTGAGAGAGAAAGAGAGTCAGAGTGCAAGCGGGAGAGGCAGACAGAATCCAAAGCAGGCTCCAGGCTCCGAGCTGTCAGCCCAGAGCCCCATGCGGAGCTCGAACCCACAAATGGTGAGATCATGAGCTGAGCTGAAGTCGGACGCTTAATCGATGGAGCCACCCAGGTGCCCGTGGTGCTGGCCTTTTGTTACTCTATCCTGGGCACCACATTTTAAGAAAGACATAGGTTGGAGCATGTCCACTGGGCAGGTGGCCAGACAGGACGGTGTTCAGGAGAAGTAGTCACAGGAGGACAGGGGAGAGGTAGGGGCCCTTAGCATAGAAAGAAGAGGCCTTGGAGGGAACACGGGTTCCCCTGAGGGAGGAATTGAATCCATTCTCTAGTGGCTCAGGGAGGCCTATGGAGTGCTGTGAATCTTAGTTCACGAGCAGAAAGAGGCTACTGAGTTCTGGTCTATCTCAGAAAGTCACAATCTTCCTGTCATTACAGGAGAGATACGTGCACAGAGGGGAACGGAAACCAGCGGTCCCTAAGATCCCTTCCTGCAATTTAAGGAGGGTGGGGAAGTGCACTGGGCATTCTGCCTTCAGACTGGGGCTAGGAAATAGAGGTCCTCCTCCAGCCGCTTAGAATGCTGGCCCTGGGGGTGAGTTAGCCTGTAGGGGAGCCCAAAGATATCAGGATAACTATCTACAATTCAGAGAGCAGTCCCCAAAGTGTCTCCTGGAATGGGTCAGAAGAAAGGGACAGCCACACCCTTCCTGCTTGCCTCTGAAATTCAGACCCTTGGCAGAGAAGAATGGAGCTGCAAAGAAGGCCGATTATCAAATCTCATGGTTTTGAGAGATGAGAAAGGATGCCCTGTTTCCTGCTCAGCAGTGGTTATAGGAAAACAGTGATATCTCTGGACTGGGAGTCAGGAGACTACAATTCGAGTCCCAGGTCGGTGCCACTTCACAGTGTGACTTTAGGAAAGAGTTTTCTGAGCCTTGTTTCCCCATTTAGACACAGAAGGCATTGAATAAATCAGTGTTTCCAAAAACACATCCCTTTGGATGTTCACAGGTGCTCAGCGGCAAAAAGGATTCTTGAAGCAAAGGAGTTTCGGGGGGGATCGTCTGGGTGGCTCAGTTGCTTAAGCATCGGACCCTTGATTTCAGGTCAGGTCATGATCTCATGGTTTGTGAGTCTGAGCCCCGAGTTGGGCTCTACGCTGACATGGCTGACAACGTAGAGCCTGCTTCAGATTC